ATTTAATTTAAAAAGTAGTGTGGCGGCATAATGCAAGACTGCAACGCAACACAGATTGTGATCGGACCAATCGGAATTCAGGCGTGTATCAATGGCATGGCCAATCAGATTACAGCTCAGCCTAACGAGTAACATCATTAATGCTCTCTATAAGTAACCACTTGTTCATTACTCAGTTGATCAATAGTCCACGTGGTTTCAGCAAAACTTCTTCGCTCAACTGAACGTGTCCGTTAACCTCACATCTACGCAGTACTAGGAGAATGGAAAACAAATGACTGTGCTGGAGTTCAATCATGTGTTGGTCCGAAATTGAAAAGGGATCAATAAATTAATCAGTTCTTCAGAAACTTGCTGTCGTCAAGAGAGGTTCGTTTCATTACAGTGCTCCTCGGTTGTACGGTCACTCCCGTTCACAAAATGTGTCATGATATATCGGTAAATTGGCTTCGTAGATATCGTAGATCAATGTTGTTTAACGTGAAAGGCTCGATCGATACGTGCATTATATGTTCGATATACTAGGTCTCAAAACACGCGTCACATGATGTCGGATGTAAGTGGTCGGATGGAGCACTGGCGAACCGGAAACGTGCGTGAGGGTATTCCAACATGTAACGATGCTTGGTACACAATACCCTCTCCAAAAAGGGCCAGCTATCCAAGAATTCCTGAGATGAGTGGGAATTTAGCAAACAACAGCATTCTGTGGCGTCGACTTACCACGTAGTAACTTCCTCATGAGCCTGGAACTTTCACCCCCGTTGGTGAACTGACTAGTATGTTGTTTCTAAAACAAATGATGTGTCGCCCAGTTGTAAAACTCTTTGGATGTCTGGCTGCCCCGCTACCAGGAGGAAGCACGAGGGCTATCAGATTGCCCAAGTCTAGGCAGGACCAGTGGAGATGCCGGGGTAGGGTTCGAACCAGGGACATTCCGGTCTGTAATTTCGCACCTTAACTACTAAGCTCTTTCGAACTCAGGATACATTACTCAGGCATTTGCCCATTTATGGTAACTACCGTTCAACATGATCGCAGTGTACCGCCACGTGAAGTGCTTCTCCTGTTCCCCTGTATCTGCAGTGCTTGATGGGAATGATGCGGGCCAATGTTTAACTTGGATCAACGAAAAAGTAGCCCATCTGGTGGTTGGAGCGCACGAACCCAGAAGCTACTGTGTAGACTTTTCGGCAACGGACAGGCTGTTCAGCCTCTGGAGCAGTTATATCGATTTCGTTGGTTTACTGGTACTGTCTGGGTGGGTTTAAAAACCTGCGATGTTTTCCCCCGGGCTTCGAAAGTTCCGATTGGCTCTTAGGTTTGAGTACGGTCAGTGGAGTCCTGTTTATCCAGTAGGTGCCTAATTTCCCCAAGTTCCTGTGATGTAGCCGAAATTTTCCGTGGTTAGCTTTTGACCGTTCGTATCGTGCGGATTTCCATCATCATCATCGACAGCATGATATCAGTGTTCAACACGGATCCTCCACTGCCGTACAACCATGACTTATTTGAAAGCATTATTGTAAAGAAAAGAATAAAAGTGGATGGGGGAGGGAATTAGTGCTAGCTTAACACAACCATTCTGAGGTGCCTACACCTCCAGACATTCACTCAGGCAATCTGGATAGAAACTGACAACAAGA